AAACCTTCCATTTACAGTATGAGAATGTTGAAGAGGCACTATGTAGATAATTATCTCAATTCATTCACATAGGTGAAAGCTTAAGAGTGAGAGCTTTATCACAATGATTTATAAGTAAAGTTAACACCACAGACTATATTAACACTTATCTTTTATTAAACATTAAAGATTTTACTGTTATAAATGTAATGTCTATAGATGATACATCAACAATGTGAAAAAAATCAAGGATACATTGTTTTATCCATAGTTAAATACTATGATTTTGCTCACTATGATGGTGGCAGCTTCATTTTTAGTAAGCATTTGATATGGATTTCAATAAGGCACTTCAAGCTTGTTAGCTAAGTGAATATCAAATTCACTGAACTGGGTATTTTGGTCTCATGTTAAGTTAAAGTGGTTTCACATTAGAGAATACTTGCTGCTTGTACAGCTGGTTCATACATAGACATCTGTCAGGTACTTTAGGGATTCAGCACTGCAGTTGTTTGAAAATACTGTGGTTGCACAAATGCACTCAGGTATTGTATCAGGCTGCTTTCAGTGCTGCACAAGTCCTGCCATCCATTTTTCTTCCTCTGTTTAAAATGTATGAATAGTGTTAGTAGAAAATAAAGCAGAAGAAAAATATCAAAGATTAGCATACAGGAAATGGCAAAAACCCATTAAAATGTCTGCTTTCAACAATCTTAGGTGAGCCCATTGATGCTGTTCCTCTGTGCTAGAGGGCTTGTGAATACATAGAATACAGTGAACTGCTGGGAACAGCTGTTTTCTTGAAAGTCATTTTGTAAAGTGTAGGTCACAATTTTTTCCCTTTAAAATCTCACAGCCCTGAGCAAAAGTTTAAAGATTATCAATTTCAAGTTATATCCCCAGTGCAGAATCTGCAAAGGAGGTTTTGATCGGTAAGAACAACATCTATTTTCTGTTCACTAGAAAAACCATGATTTGCATTTCTCTTTTTCTACTGTGGGTCACCAGCCCTCAATTGATCTTTACTGACCAGCTTCATCTTAAATCAATTCAGAGTTATTTAGTGTGAACACTGAGAAACTACCACTTGTACTTCAGATGCTACAAAATCAGTTCCAAGGAAATTTAAGCAATTCAGATTGTTTCTCTAGATGAAATTGAACTGTGTTGTACTGCACAAAATTGAGAGAGAGCTGATGTGGAACTAAGAAGCTGAAAGAGTTTAACCAACCAGGTAGTCAAAAATGGTACAGGTTGGCCAGAGTACAGGACATATATGGTATAGTCAATTGTGTGTCAGGTTTTATGGTACAATTTGTCCATCTGTGAGCTACAGTCTTACTTGGTAGCTGAAGCAAATGGGATAAGGTTGATACAGGTAAGAAACATTTTATTGGGTTGTTTTTGTTTTTAAAGAACTATCCCACTTCTCTTTTAAGCCATTGTAGGTTATTATTATTGTAACAAGTTCCAATATCACCGCTGTACTTAATGTAGCATCAATCTTTTTAACCATAAAACAAATCCTTCTTTTCAGTATTGCCTAACTGGACTATAGAAATTCAAACTTGGCTGAGTTTTATCATATAAGATCTCAGCAGTCTGATAGAAAATGCCTAGCTCTATAGGGGAAAGTAATTACTGTATGTATATAGTTTGTAAAGGTTTTGGGAGCCTCACAGGTGAAAAACATCTTATTTTTTTATATTCTTTACATTGTTCCATGCAGAAAGTGTGCCTGGTGCTTTATGGGCAAGTAAAAAAGATAGATCCCTGCCTCAGTTTTTTATGCTTTGCTATTAGTAAAAAGGTGTTTTTTCATTTTTAAAAAAACCATGTTATTTGTGTCTCTTGGAGCATAAAGAAATATGGGTTAATCATCTCCACTACGTGGGGGGGAAATACTTTGAAATTGCTAAGCTTTTTAACTTCAGAAATCCTTTACTGTGCAGGTGTGGCATATTTTAGTCACAAAATTGTATAAGGCTCTTTATAATTATTACTTGAATTTATACTACTTTTACAATTAGGCATAATTACTAAAATAAATATGCAATAGTCAACTAAAAATGCTTTGGGGAAAAATAATTAAATATGCAAAACAAGACCTAGGTTAAAAAAATGTCTAGATTGTCAGGGAAACCCAGGGGAAAAAAGGGAATTCACAGGAAGGGAGTATGCATCCAACACCCAGGAATATATAAGTAATACAGATGGCCGGGCCACATTCAGAACTGAAATCCTTCACTCTCCTGTTCTCTCACTTAGTTTCTTTTTTTAATCTTTTCTATGAGCTTGCAAATTCCTGTGTAGTCCCATGTTGTGTGCTCTAAGTCCCTATGGCACCCACATTTTGTCTGGCTACAAATGAGAGGGAAGCATAATAGTGAGGCTAAAGTACAGGACTGGGAGTTAGGAGATCTGGGTTCTAGTCGCTGTATAATAGGGATACTTCCTTATCTAACAGGTGATGTGAGGCTGAAATAATATTTGTTTTGTGCTTTGAGATCCTCACATGGCAGGTATTCTACATGTGCAATATATTATGATGATTCTTTATTATTGTTACTACCGGATGATAGTACAACTTAAATTTTAGGAAACTCCTTTATTTCATTTAGTTCCTGCCTTTTTCACTGTGCAATACTGCTCAGCCCTGGCAATAAAAGCAACTTCACACAATGTCCCTTTTCTTCCAGGCTGCTTGCAGGACTTTGCCCTTGTTTCTTTTTAGCACCATCTGTGGTAGTAACTGTGTAAGCTGTAATCTACACATGAGATATCTAACGTATTTTTAATCGCCAGGTTATATAATCCTTCTCAGAGTCAGGGAGGTAATAATAGCTGAAAGCTGTCTACATTACAGCTACTACCGATGGAGCTACACTGGTAGCAAATTACAGTTACGGAGCTTGCTAGTATAGACAAAGGCCCAAAGAAGCCATATTCACTCACTTTAAACAATCTGCTAGCTTGTTCCAAGAGCAGACTCTTGGATGATTGTGTATAGTAGCTGTTATTGCTCCAGAACAACTAGGTCAGCTGTATAGTGTTGCCCACTCCCTGACCCTGACTGTGTAAAGAAAACAGGGAGGAAAAAGAGTCAGTTGTCCAATAGGAGTGTTGCTTTTCAAAACAGATACATTTTGGGGAGGAAGGGGCGAGAGAAGGGACTTGGAGGCCTCTGGGAGCCCCCCACCTGCTCTATCTGAGAAGGAACCTCCCTCCCCGCCCAAGAGTCACTCATGTCAACAGCAGGAGAGCAGGTAGCATGAGTAGCCCAGCTGCTGAAGACAGGAGGCAGGGGAAGTCTCTCTAGGGCTCCCTGCGGGTGGTGAGAATGGCAGGGTCAGAACTAATGATCTCCCCACAAATACCCTCATTAATAGGGAAGAGGGGCATGAAAGAAACCAGCAACTCTCCCAAAGAAATACTCCTAACAGGACAACAGGAGAGAGAAGGTTGTTCCTGAAATATAAGCACAGGGTGTGAGAATATTCTCCATTCCAACTTCCCCATTCCTTGCATCAGGGTGGTCCTCTGAATTATCACAAGAAGGGGGAAACATGGGGATCTGGTTGTCTAGATTCCCCTTTAAGAGATGGAGAAACAAATTCTCCACTCTGTGAGGGAAAGCCTTTGGCCGTCCGTTTTCTTTTAGTGTGGGCCTCCTCCAAAGCCCACTGAAGTCAATAGAAAGACTGCGTGACTCCAGTGGGCTTTGGATTAGAGCTCTGTTGACAACTTTGAAAGCATGCAAGGCAGCTTCATCACTTTTCTTCTTTGTGTGCTCACTATCTGATAACAATCTTTTAGCCCAGAGTCCTGGATAGAACAGTGCTTATTATGTGTAGTTAGAATACTGTTGCCCCTCTGCTGAGCAATAGCAGAAGTCAGCATCTTGCAGGTTGTTTTCCCATTTAAGGAGAAATCAGTGACACTGACTTTTGGCATTTTCTTAGTATAACTTGTTGATTTACACCAGTGCTGGGACATAAGGAGTCAAACAACACTCAACCAAAACCCTCTTGCAGGAATCCCAGCCCAAATACTAATGCCTGGTTCCTTAGAAGCAACTCTGCACCAAGAACTAACCATAGAGGAAGAGTCTAAGGCAGAGAGCAACTTCTCTGTTTGCAACAGCTCCCTCCAAAGAACTTCCATCACAAAAAAGCTAACAACACAGCATTTCTTCAGACACCACATTGCTCACAGTCTGAGTAAAAGTCGTAAGACTATGTGACAGCACCCCCTTGTGACTTCTGCTATAAAAATACTTATTAATAGGATTTAGATGCTACTGGGACAAGGTAGGTGAGGTAATATCTTTTACTGAACCAACTGGTGTTGGTGGAAGGTACAAGTTTTCAAGCTTCACAGAGCTCTTTCTCCGGTCTAGGGAAGGAAACCAGAGTGTCTGAGCTAATAAGTTGGGACAGATTGTTTACTTAACAACTTGTATTTAGCTCAAACACTCTGGTTTCCTTCCACAGATCTAAGGAAGAGCTCTGAGAAGCCTTAAAGTTAGTACTTTCCACCAACACAAGTTGGTCGAACAAAAGATATTTCCTTGCCTACCTTGTCTATCTAATATCCTGGAATCACCATGGCAACAAACAATATTGAAAACAATTTTAGATACTACTATGATGGGTGTTATAGGTAACCCTATGGTAGGTAGACAGTTGAAACAATCATGCTGCAAGTGCACAGGTAGCTTTTTTATGTTACTGCAATATTTATGGTATTCCTTATACTTAGCACAGAATAGGGAATACAGAGAAACAGCATTACTTGCACTTATGAAGATTTCAGTATTGACCGTTACTCAGAGCTGGTCTGATGACACAGTGATGAAAATTCCTGAGCTCTATTTACATTAGCACTCCAACTCTTTTTTCCATTGATGGAAATGCACTGGTTGAAGATTTCCTCAAAAAGACTAGCATAGATGCAGGCATGATTTCAAGAAAAGGAATGCTGATATGTCATGATGCTGGATGTTTCTCTTTTTACTAAAGGGAAGAACTTTTGCAAGCAAGAACACCAATTTATCCATATCCAGATATCCTTACCCGGACAGATAGGGAGCTAAAGAAGATAATTGAGGATCAGGTAAGATCCTTATTTCCTTTTTTTGTTTGACAAGTAGCATTGTTTACAATTATAAAAAAGCTCCTTGAGCAAGGAGAAGCAGACCTGAAAAAAATATGCATTCACATAAATTGAATATTGAGCATTACAAAATTCAGCCATTGCCAAACTTTATTACCTTTTAACTCTGCTACAAGTGCATCTTATTTACTTCCTTAAGTTATGGAAAACACTGCCTTTTGTTATTTGTTAAATAATAGCCTAATCCTAGTGTCCTGAATTAGCATTGATTTCTTCTGACAAAAATCTTACATCTGAGTACAGAGCACTGATTTCTTCTGATGTGTGTTCCTAACAACTGAATCCAAACCCTTTGACTCAGTTTTCTGGTGACCATCCTTTACCCTTGACAGATCAAAAAGATTTCTTAATCACTTTGTTCTTGTAGGATTTACATGAGCTGGAGAGGCAGGAGGCTAGTCCATTAAAGCAATACATTAATCCACTACACTGCATTCAGGCAGCAACTTCTTTATCTAAAAATATATCATTACATTCTACTTTTATTTATTTAGAAAGATATATTCACTTTGACCTCTTTGCTTAAACTCAACTTGACAGATATGCCAACACTACAGAGGTAAATTTTCACTATAGCTCATGGAGACTTAGTGATGGACTGCCACTAGCAATTCCTGATTGGCAACAGACGCTAGTAACATTGGAGTGTATCAGATGGCTAAATTGGAAGGCATTGTGCCGATAACAGTGGTCTACAATTTTTGAGAAGTCGTCTGCTTCAGAGATAAAATGTGCTATTTATTATGTATTTTGATGTGCTGAATTCAAATATGACAATTAAAACAACTGATTCTAAGATATTTAAGTTTCTAAGATATTTAAGTTTTTACATTTTAGGTCTATGTATATTGTGTAGATAGTAGAGTTTTAATCATAAATTGTAAACCTAGGTCTTTTCATGTGTTTATGGTTGCTTTACATGATAATATTTCACCTGTCCTGTTTATGTAACACTTTAAAAATCAGCAAAAGGGTTATATAAATAAAATTTATTATGAAACAAAAGGCAAAAAACTATTATGTACATAGTTTAGTCCTATTCAGTGTCTTCTCGGCGCTTCTTGGCTTGTCTCTTGTATTCATTAAATGGAGCATCTCTTGTCACTGTCCAGCAATAGTCTGCAAGCATTGATGGGGTCCAATTTCACGAGTAGCG